CAGTTTTATATATTACTCAATATTATATTATACTTTTTTGTTTTTGAGACAAGGCCATGCATAATTTGTCAAAAGACAAGCACAATAACCCCAAAGCGAATTGCGAGAAGTGGTTTCGTATTTCGTTATAGAAAAAAATACTAATAGTTTATGTAAAATAACGACTCTCGTACGGTGTCGCGTTTATATCTTTTTAAAACATTGGTGCAATTTGATGCAAAAAATAATGACCATAAAATGTCAGGTTTGCGAGATCAGACAGTAACCTAACAACTAAACAATTGAAAATCTAGGGATCAATGTTTAACATTCGTCAGCCATGAGCAATTTTCATAAATAAAACATGATTTAGTAGAATACTTTGCGAGTAAAAAAAAGAGACTACCATAGATTTGTTATTAACCACAAATGCTTATCAGTATTCAGGAGTTACCCTTTTTGCATTACACCACATTACAACAGAAATTAGAAAATAGGGCCTGGAAGTATTTCTAAGACATTGTTGTTTTCCTGTTCTATGTAGCTTTCTTTCTGGCAAACACGGTGTTAGATTTTATAAATGCTGACAGGCACCGACCATTGAAAAACCATCGATCTGTTTAAAATGAGAAATGAAAATAATTGTTTGTTTTTTGTTTTTTTTTATGGCAAATAAGAAAAATGACCGTTCGATTCAAAAATTGTTTAAAATTATTTAGAAATAGATTTATGAAAATAATGTATTTTAATGCGAAAAGGCTAGACTTTAATTTGTGGTGTAGGGATGTGATTGGTTGGTTTTGTCTACAATTATTTCCCATGATTTCCGTAGTGAAAATCTGCAATAATTATTGTTTCATCATGTTGTTTGATTTTCACATTATAACAAAACTAAGAATATGACGGATGAATTTATAGTTAGCTGTTTTATGTCCAGTGGTTACTACTAGATGTATCATTAGGAGGACATTTACAATGTTATAAATATGAACAAGGTCAAGGTATCCTTTTTTATGCAAACATGTGTATCACGGTACAAGCGATGACCTATAGACCGTGTGTATCATATGTATATTTAGGGTGGGTTGCTCTGAATAAAGGAGGTATAGATACAGGAAAATAAAGAAAAACATTTTATAAAATTAGAATAGAGTATAACAGGCAAAATAAAGAACAGAGGAAAATGGTTTAAGAAAATTAAAGAATAGAGGGAAATGGTCTAGTTTTTTGCCGGACAATCGTTGATGATTGTTTAAAGTCAAGTGCATTTATAGGTAAAATAATACACAATCGTTTGTACATTGGTAGGGATTTAGGTTTGAGGTTGATAAGGCACATAAAGAGTAATTGTTTTTATTTGAAATTTCTCGAATATTTGTTTTTTTTCCGTCTGATTTGAAAATGAATTAAAAAAATCTATAATCTAAAAAAAATCGTTTAATACTCAGCAGACAGTAGTTTACTCGCACATTCACCAAGTCCGTATTTCTACGGCTAAAAAAAAATCATAATTGTATCTTTTAATTTGTTTAAATTTATTTCAGTGTTTATTTTTCAAACTTTTTATGTAAATAATGTTGGATCAACATCGAGTCAGATTAAATTATAATTTATTAAATTATTAATTAAAAACTAAAACATGCATCCAATCTAAATTTTACGCATATTATCACCTATATAAAAAGATTTAACAGAACACAATTCATGTTTTATATTAAAAAACGAAACTATGCACTCCAAGAAACGATGTACGCTTAACGATACGATATACGCTACACGAAACGATGTACGCTAAACGATACGGTATAAGCTAAATGAAACGATGTACGCAAAACCATACGATTAACGATACAAGGGCGCTTATGTTATCGTTAATGGTATGGTTTATGGTACATGGTTTCGTTCGTACATCGTTCGTTCAGCGTCCGTACAACGTTCGGTCAGCGTTTCGTTTGCATTCGTACACCGTTCGGGAAGCGTACGTACATCGTTCGGGCATCGTCCGTACATGGTTCGGGCATCGTTCGTATTGTTAACTTTTACGTTACACGGACTGTACCAGGTTTACAATTTGGTACGCCAGACGCGTTTACCTGCAAGAATCCTTCGCCTCTCTTTTATCTCAATGTTGACGACTATTGTGCTATTTCGTGGGGGTCAGTTTTTATTGGTGGAGGAAGCCGAATGCCCGTCGAGTACCACCGACCTTCGGTATGAGAACTGAAATCCTTGTCAATTGAGATTAGAGTCGAGCGCACCTGCCACATGCAGGATTCGAACTCACAATCTCAGTGTTTACAGGCTAGAGATACAGTAGTTAGACTATTTTGACCACTCGGTCAACGAGACCCCCTTAAATAGTTCATAGTTAAACATAATTTTTCACGACTTACACAAGTATTTTTTGTGAAAACAGTCCTTATTATCCGTGTTACTACCATATGTTAAAGAAAAGGAGTAAAAGACAACAAAGGGACAACAAAAAAACGGAAGTAAACGAAAAACAGACAATACCAAGACAAACACCAGTCTTCAAAACACTGCACAGAATATAGACTTAGCAAGAAGAACCACACCACAAATAGAGGATGTTTAAAAAGGTAGGCAGATCGTGATATACCAGTAACAACCTTTGTGTTGCTCATGGCAAGTAACCAATGTATTGCATATGCATGAAGTGTCGGAATGTTTCTACATACAAATAGTAAGGCCACAATTGGAGAAACTGAAGTTAACTATTTTATCGGAAAGTTTAATTCTCAACCGGCATTAAAATTTAACTTTAAGAATTTAATCCACATTTGAAGCAGACTAGATAGTGTATGTAATATACTTTTTTTGAAAGGGGCATTATCTGTCAAATCCATGTTCACCGATTGACTCAAATTCTCATATTTGATTTATAACATACTTAAACGTATATCCAAATTATCAAAAGTCTTAAAATGAACAATTTACAATGCATGGACTCGATTATATGTATCAGCATTTCGTAATTAACCATCGAGGTGACCTCCGAAGACTGTCGACGGTCATATAACCCGATGTTAAAATAAATATACATTTTTAGATTGAATAGATAGCGAACACGTGCAATTAGATTTTTCTAGAGCTGTTAATTTCATATTATAGGTTGAAAAATATGTTTATCATCATTTTTACCTTATTAGAATGAGTTTTTGTGGATCGAATCAGTCAACCAATGGTTTATCCTTGTTTCACTTTAAATGTTGACATTCTTTTCTTTTTAATATCTGAACACGCCTAGTTTATGCGTTATCTCTAGCTTAGGATTAAATTGAATACGGATTCTATGTGGTCGAATTATTCACTTGCCAGTGAATAATTCTTCAGTGTTGTTTCTTATCTTATTTTGACAAACTTGAACCAAACTGGCTGCTAAAATCATTAATGATTGACCAAAAAAAAATCATACTTTATTCTATTTTTATATCTCGTAGCTACTGCCCCTTTAAGTAAGATGGGATAGATGAGTTCAACATAGTCGTTTTACTATGAAAAATCTTAATTGAAAGATTTTAATGTAAAAGAACCGATATGAAATTCGAAAGAATTTAACATAAACTGTTTTAACTATCTTGGTCGTTTATATATTTTAATTTATATACCGAGATTTATTTCAATTTCGGTTAAATTAGAGCAATGTATTAAACCTACTGCGTGTAGAACTGATAGACATTTAACAGAAAATGAAAGTACAAACGGGATGTCTGCAGAGAAATCAATCATTGAAAACAACTCAGATATGTTACGTAAGATTGACGGCTGAAGATAACTCATTTAATCTTAAATGTTCAATTCATCACAGAAAAGAGTCTTGTATAAATACCACACAAATGGAAACGATCTCTCAGATTCCCGATTATCTCTAACCGCGATTGTTATAAATTACTAACAATTTCCGATCCAAAGGAAATCTTCAGTGAGTCTTTATTTCTCATAGAGTTCAGTGTTTTTTCAAGCGATAAGCTAGTATTTCAGCTTATTTATGACTTTTAACTCACACCATGACATCGCAGTCTTCATTATATTGAGTTTGCCAGTAATACTAAAAATTCAATTTTTCATTTATATTTTTTTTAATCTATTCTCTTGTTTTCATTTATAATAAATAAACAAACAGCAGTACTCATGATTATTGTTTATCTTGCTCTTGTCTTATGGAAATTGCCTTCGGGGATTGTACACTTCGTTAGTGTAGCTATTTAGAGTTCATCATAATCTTCAATGATTTATTGTTCATATATATCATTGTAAATTGCATGTAAAATCATGTAATATGTAATGTAGAAGGGAAAATACTGATTTTCCATTTTACGAGAAAGGGTGAGTATGTTTATACATTTTAGAGAGTATGGGCCTAGGCGTAAACTTAAGAAAGCATTACAACAAAACAAAACGCGAGTATATAACAACAAACGTTTATTTATAACCCTCGGAACACAGTTAATTTGAGAAATCAATTTGTGGAACTATCGCTGTGTACTTTTGTAGTTGTCGAAAAAATTGACTTACAGCTGAAATAATTCAATTCATTAAAGGGAATACTATTAGATGTATTTCGGAATGAACGGTATCGCGTGTCCGTCTAATTAAGGAGATCATTAAACAAGTTGCAATGGTTTTTACTATTACACGTTTTATTTTCCTTTCAAAACCAACATAATATGTGACCATAAGAACGGATAGCGCTGATCTTTGCTTCACGAGTCTGTTCCCTTTTTAGGTCTCAATTTGTGTCATATAACTAACAATAATGTAAATAAAACCCAAATAAAAGTATCACTTTTTACGTATGACACTTTGTGTGAAATTTACACGATCGTTATAGTAACAGGTACTGAAAGCCTTCTGTACTAAAGTGGCTCAAAATAAAAAATTAATTTGCTCCTTGCATATTGGTATCAATTTCTACACTTCCATGGGTACTTTGTCTTCTTTCTACTTATTATTACAAATGCAAACATATAATGGAAAGATAATGTGTTGACGATACTTACAACTTTCTATCTCCACTGTACAGTTCTGTATATCTAGAGGGTAATTATGTAAATCCATCATACATGCAAGAGTTGATGTGAACCTGTCAATATAGGAATTTTTATGCATTTAAATTACTGGCAGTTGACTGTTGTCTGACCAATTTAGTATTAGTTTTTTTGTTATGTGTATACTTGACATAAAATAGTGTCCCCCATGAAATATTGTCTCTGGGTCCCCCATGAATTATTGTCTCTGGACAAAATTTCACAGCAATTATGTCCGCAGATAATATTTTATAATTAAATACTGTCCAGGACAAAATTTCATTATGAAAGTGTGTGCTTCTCTTTGAACTATTGGCAAGTTCTTCGAGACAATATCTCACTGTGAAACACTGTCCCTGACAATATTTCACTGTGAATTTTTGTCTATGACAGTATTTCCTTGACAATATCAAAGTATGTCTTCCGTGATACTGCATGTGCAGTTTTTATATTCATAACTAAAAATAGTTGTATCAAAAGTATTTTATATATCAAACAAACACATATTTTGTCATAGGCTGATTTAAAATTTGCTACTCTTAATGATTAAAGTCAAATATGTTAAGTGTACGATATTATACTGTGTAAATTCAAGTAAAGTACTGACAATTAATTTTATTGCGTGAATCCCCTGAGGGGTTCACGCTTATATATTGGCGAGTTTTGGATGTGTCTATGGGCCACTCGATATCTCTCGGCCGGAAGTCGGAATAAAATTCTCGGAACGTCTCGAAAGTTTTCGATTATTTATACAGGTAGCTATCTACGTCTTTGATACGGTCCCTCTATGGCTAGGCTACCACGTGACATTACACCATCAAAGTAAATTGGAAAGTAAACAATAAGGCTAGGTTGCAGTCAATAAATCGTCTAAATATAAGAACCTTTTTGCATTTTCACAAAACATATGTGTTTTTAATAATGTGAATGTTTATAAGTGCTTTGATGTGAAAGTTTCTAAACAAGTATTATGACAACGCAATTATATTTGTTTTAAAACGACCCCTGTACACCGTGTGTATCTAGGTCAATTATAACGTGGTATAATTGTGCATTGTCATGATAACATGTAAACTAATTATGTCTGAAGATTTAACCACGTGTGTATTTTCATCATAGACTAAGCATAGGAGAGAACATTCTTGTTTAAATGTGTATATAAGATCAGAAAACAGAAAGATAATATTATTATCAAAAGTAATCAATTTAATTAATTCAATAGAAATCAAAGAAATATATACAAAATATATACTGCATAATTTATGTTTCTGTAGAAACTAAATATTAAATTGAAGTCAGAGTTGCAATTAAGAAATAAGTATTTATATGACAAGATACTCTGCTTTGGTATTTTTAAATATTCATTTGTAAATAAAACATGCATAATAATTAAATCTGAATAAATCCTTGCATCATACAAAAAAAAATGTTGATAAACAATAATAATTATATTTCTACGTTAATTATTTCCTACCGTTTTAGTAATGTTTTATAAGTAATTTTTATTTATTTTTTTGTATTGTAATATATCCATAAAACATATTTACATATTTGTACCATGGTACGGCTTGAAAATTGTATTCACTGTGTTGCCCAACTATCCTACACGTCTTGATTCATTCACATTATAGATCACATTTCAAACGCACACTATCGGTTTGCGTTCTCAAAAATTCCAATAATACTAATTTCACTCGTGAATGCGCATTTTCGTTTTTCTTATCTAAATTTAGGACACGTCTGTAAGAGATTGACATTTGACTTTCATGCACGGTCATCATTACTTACGGTATTCTGACCTCTAGCTGTTTCTATTTTGTTTCTTTTTTGAGTCACTGTCCTATAATAAACTTTGACCTTTTCGAAAAGCTGAGGATTGTCTACCCAAGGAATAGATTCCTTAACTTTGTAATTTATTTGGCCTTTTAATTTTTTTCATTCGAGTGTCACTGATACTTTTTTGTAGACTGGCGTCTGGCGAACATCATTTTAATTCTGGTATCTTTTTATATCTACATACCTTTTCATATAAATTGGTTATTTTGAGGGTATGTACAGGTATTCATAAAATTTCTGAATTAAGATATTCTTCGGCAAAACCAAGTTTCCCTGTAGAATATTTGAATTGATTTAAGTAAAATCAGGAAATCCTTAAATTTGAGATGTTTTATTAGACCAAAAAAAGTCTCTTTATAAGATGTCCCAATCAGTTGCATGCCACAGGTTTCATTGCACATGGAAATTGGACTTTAGATTTATCTATACAATTAACATCTACCATGAGTACAGACAGCTTCAATAACGAGTTGAGAACATGAAGGTCCATGCAGGAAGCAAAATATAAAGATGTGATAGATAAAATAAGTGCATGCAGAATTCCAGATTATAAAGCAAACTGAGTGCATTAATTTATATTGCGATTGGTTTATGCAATTTGCATAAGTCATCCGGTTTGTAGAAATTGGGATTTGCAAAAGGGTTATCATCGGGAAAATTATGTACATTCCCAAGTACTAAATAAAATAGTCTAGCTTTAAAATGTATATTCAAATAGTAGATGTTAATATACACTTTCAACTGACTTCTTCTAATCACAGTCAATTATTTCAATTCAAAAGCAAACACAAATTCAGCAACAATCTTTTGGTGACCCGGCAGTCAGCGGTCTTAGGTTCACGTATTGCTTTTCTTTTTTTTAAAGAAAGCAACTTGTTATACTTCACGTCAAAATGCCAGATTTTGATTGGTTGATAAGAGAATGATAATGTACTCTATCACATGGCTAAACGTCTTCGTCTCGGTTGACAATGTTTTCTCGTGGTAACAATCTGCTCTATCACCATGATCACCCTCTAAACTATGTATTATAATTATATAATAACATATGTGTGTTAATATCAATAACACTTTAATGATATTATTGTCCAAAATATAAATTTTTATAACCTCCCTTTCATGAGACAAAATTTCATGACAATACCTTCATAAAATATTGTCTCAATATACATAAAATATAACTTTAGATAACATCCCTAAAACGAGACCAAAATGAAATTACTATCTCTCTACGGAAAATTTTCTAATAAAGACATTTTGTCTTTCCCTGAACAATTTTTCATGGATAGGGACAAAATATAACGATACATAATAATGTCTTGGGGACAATATTTCTTAGAAAAATACTTAGCTTTATCTATCATTTAGTATGTATTCATGTGGTCATATTTATAAATTAACTGTTTAAAAAACATTGAATTGTTAGAAATACTAGTGATTTCTATTCCAGGGATAGATTACATTAGCTGTATTTGGCAAAACTGTTCGGAATTTTGGGTCCCCAATACTCTTCAACTTTGTACTTTATTTGGCCTTTTATTATTTTTTTATTCGAGGGTCAGTGATGAGTCTTTTGAAGACGAAACGCTCGCTTGGCGTACAAATTATAAGCCTGGTATCTTTGATGAGTTTTTTTTATGCCTATGCTAGAAACGGAAGGAAATGGTGTATCAATTCATCACACAACACGTCACTTCAAACACATGACGAAAAGATGTTAGTCATCGTTATTTTAAATGAATAAAGAACCAATGGTTGTTTTCATATGACAAAAAAAAAGCAGTGGTTTAAAGAAATGGTTCAGGTTTTCCAACTATCGTTGAGAACCCGCAATTATAAAATTACTAGTATGAAAGAAAGATATGTATCAAAATGTAGGAACCATTACGAGCGACCAGTTTAATAACAAACATAACTTCCGAGTGGACAACCTTAAAACAGAACTAAAACCTGAAACATTTTAAAGTTTTGAGTCAATTGACCATTACTGGGCTTTTAAAGTGCAATTCAATCGATAAACTAACTGTATGAAGGCGATGAAAAAGGAATGTACAATAAGAAGACACTGAAACACTGATAGTCATTATGAATAATACTATTATCAACATTATTTTACAGAAGATAATCGTGTAATTCGATTGTTTAAGATCCGATAGAATCAAATAAGAAATACACCTAAGGACTGAAGTCCGTTACCTATGCGTTGTAGAAATACTTAGATCGACCACTTTGGTTGGGTTGGTGAATTTAAATTTGAAACCCCGTGAATGGTTACTTTTAAGTTCAACTGTTCTTGGAGATAAACAAAAATATCTGCTTAATCTTCAGACCTTATCATGGTTACCAAGTATTCCCAGGATATCAGGACCAATCAAAATTAATTGTCTATTTTTAAGATGCATTTCCTTACCTAGATTTACCAATTTATTTATTGGTAACCTTATTGTTTAACATTCGATTTCATAAAACAGTTTTCAATAAACATCAAACAAAGCGTCCATCAATTAGTTATCAGGAATGTAGAAATCTTGAAACAGACACATAATAATAATACACAACAGTCACATGTAATAAATCTTCTTTGGATTAAGTTATTAAATCTGATCAGTTACTTTTAGTTACTGTTTTTTGTACAAAAATTTGATGTATTAGTAATTATTTCGAATAATCTTCTTACTTCTCTGAAACTGAGGTATATATGTTCTTTAATATTCAAACTGAAGGTCTTTTTACCAATAAGTCATTATTCAAACGTGACATTAGCACCATGTGTTACTATCGTCAAAACCGTTCAATTTCTCTCTTAGTTTGTGATGAATTCTCAATTAGTGTACCCTTTGTAGGTTATTGTTTTTTTCTTCAGACACAGTGGTATGGAACTTGATGTCATCAGCTTCAGTCAGTTCTTATAGTGGAAACAATCCCGTTCGAATCAATGATGCACAATACTCGTAGGACTTAACATGCAGCTTAATCAGATTGTTACTGTAATCAGTATGATGGCCTTGGGTCAATGTTCTTAACAGAACCTTTGAAAATTAATAGTGCCATATTTTGATCAACATCTTCCTTTTAAATATAAATCATTTTTCTTTATTTGATTATATTGAGATGTTGATTCCTTTAAGTCTAACAAAAGAATGAATTTCTTTTGAAAATTATTTGTCGTTCATTCAGTGACGGTGAATATCTATTAGTTTACAATTCAATCTTTGTTTACATCTGGTAAATTCATTTCAAAAGACAACAATTCTGGATAAATTAAGTTTACACAGCTGTTTTCCTTGTGGTTAAAGTCATCTGATATTGAGTCGTTCGTGCCTATCAGCATAAATATCCAAACACAAAATTACGGGCAAATAGAAGGATCTAGAATGAATGAATATATAATAAGGTCTACATACAACGAGTTGTATTGTGGAATATTATCGGTTTAAAGTATTTTCTCAAGACAGCAGTGTAAACTTGTATTGACAAAAATATACTACCTTTTTCGACTCTAGTCTGGTCTATCAATTGTTTGATTAAAATGCTTTTGTTCATATACGAATCTCTTTTTGGTGGAACAGCTATTATATTCGTGCAACCACTTTAACAAACATTTTCCAATTATTTTATTTAGATCATTATACATTAACAGATAGGTCAGATGTAGATAAGCTATAAATCGTGAAAGTGTCTACATTTAAGGTAACACGATACCGAATGGCATATCTCCCGATTTCTAAACTTTTTGGCATACTGGCACTTTGAATCGAGTTATATCAGAATATGAAATAAAAAAAATGGGGGTCACCATTTTTTTGTTGTTGTAATTTTTATAAGAAAACATCACTTTTGGCGACTAATTTACATAGATATATAGGGAAAATGCATTTTTTTTAACTTATTTTTTTTAGATTTTTCAATGGATGGCTGTGTTCTTATATACGAAGAAAGACTAAAAACTAACATAATATCCAGGATTGTATACTGAATCCATGCATGTATATGTCACCATCCTTGTTTTTTTAGATACATTGCTTCAAAGTTGACCGATACGCTTAGAATTTGACAAAAAACGTATGACGTTACTGAATACAGATTAACGTTATTTTTATTCAGAGGTATTGAAAAAAAAATATGTAACGGGATCTGAACGGTGTTTGTTATTTTATTTTCATTCCCCCTGTCGTAAATTTCCTAATAATTCAATATAACATTCGACCGAGTTAATTTTATTTCGTCCTAACTGGGTGCACGTTTAGCTTTTCAAAACTGAATCTTCAACTTACCCTTACAAACTACACAATGGTGATGTCACCGATGTATCCATGCATTTGATGGAAACTAGGATGGAAAGTTGTCTCATTGACAATCATACCACATCTCCTTATTTCAAAATGGATTGCGTTTTCTCCTGAAATTCAAGAAGTTTAAAGACTAACAAATACGTGCTAGGAGACTGAAATATGTTGCTGTTTTTTATAATCTGACATTTGTTGTGAACATGTGATGTTATAATTTGATTGATTTAATACTTGCCATACTAAATATACTTATTATATTTCCAATTCAAAAGACCAATGAATCTTTACTAAAACTACAAATTAGCAGTAAAACAATACTCGTCTATCTTACATTAGTCACGTGTTATCTAGATGTCTTTGGTTTTGTGTGTCGTTAATTCGCCAATTGCTGCTTTATTGTATATCCCACATTTCCATTTATGCACACAAAGAAATAACAACCCTTTTAATTTACATAAACACTTGTAGACTTGTCCTTATAACGCTTCGAATACTCTCGGGCTTTTCCCGACGCCTATGTGAGCAATATGCCACTCCCCCTAAAGGCTCTTTTGCTAATCGTCTGTGAGTCGTTTTGTCTCCCCACTTTGTGCAAAGGTGCGTTTCTTTATCATCTGTTCCTGTACATCACGTCGAACTCAAAACACCAAAAACACACACATCCCCGAAGACCAAAGTGCAAATTAATATGAATCTAAAATCAGCATGATTTTAAGATCTCGTTGTATTTTTGTCCCCAGCGCGATGCGTTGTGGGGGACAAAGAAATACTGGGTGTCCGTCCGTTTGTCCGTCCGGTCTTGTTAGCTCTCTCACGTGTACAAGTCTTGCCAGATTTTTATAAAACTTATATATTAAGTTTATATCAGCATTGACGCTGACAAGTTTGAAAATAAGTTTTTATTTTTATAAGAGTTACAAATGTATGCCCCTTGGAAATATTAATTATATGGAAAATTGCATTTGTAAAAGCTTTCACGTGTACAATTTTTGCCAGATCTTTAAATGATTTATATCATTTATATCAAAGGTTTATATCAGCATTGTCCTGGATAATTTCGATAGTCAGTGCCGATCAAATATTTTATTAAAAGATTTATGCCCCTATGAAATATTAATTATTTCGGACTTTGCATTGCATTTGCTCTCAAGCCTACATTTCTCTATTGACGATATTTATAAAAATAAATCAACGAACAAACAAATTTGTTTAAGTTATAATGACCATTGACAGATACAATATGTACAACGCGGGAAAAAAGGGGGAGCGATTGGAACTCTGTTCTTTCAATCAGTTTGTTTTTGCCGTTTGAATAAATAGGTTAATGAAAATATCTTTTATAACTTGTTTGCGTTCGAAGCGCTTTTCTGGATTTACCTCAATCGAAGCACCGATCATTCGTTTATTGTGGGGCCACATGTTCTTAATGAATCGTTTGATTGTAAATTTCGAGAAAATAATTTATTTCAGAATGGAATTGCTAGAAAAAAATGTAACGGGATCTGAATAGTTTAATTATATTTCGTCCAAACCGAGTACACATTTAGTGTTGAAATCCCATATGTTTAAGCCTTTATTAACTTTCTCCTTATTCCGATGTTGCTGTCCTGTGTAGACTGTGCTTATACGATTACAATGCTAGTAGTTTATTTTAAACAAGCTTCCGGAACCATATCGGACTTCTTCTGTACAGTCCAATAAATTTCAAATACAGTTTACACTTGAAACATAGGGAAAGTTGTTCGGCCAAATAGACAAGTTCAACTACCCTTCTTTTTTCATTCCATGCAAACACACCATTTTCTGTCTGAGTTTATACGTCTGCTTGTACGGTGGTTTTTCCCCCCGAAAAATTCTATCGGTACTCTTTTCCAAATAATTTTCCTTTTTCTATTTTGCTAACGACGTTTTTCGGTAACCATTTAAAAACGAATGGGCTTCTTAGCGGAATTTTGCATTAATTGTGGTACAATTCCCGTATTTTCACACATTATCATGCGTTTCTATAATTTCGATTTCTACTTTCAAAACAAAATTTCATCGGGGAACGGCGTGCATCATTAATAAGAATGTATTGCCAAAAAAAAACCAACCAAGAATAAAAAGCTCAGTCTGTTATGCAGAATGCGAGGAAGACGACGAAGCAACCTTTGTCAAATAACGTATTGCATCAAATCCCTCGACACTCTGCATCTATGCAAAGCTACTTTTAAAAATGTTTATAAAAAACAAAAGGTTAATTTATTATTTGAATTTCACATAAGTGTGATTTTTGTTCTTTCATTTGAATAGCATCTATGTAAAGTGTTTGTTTTGTGATTAAATATGATTCGTATAGAAAGCGACGCTTCAAGTACTGAATGAAGATATTTTTAATATAAAATCATATATATTTGAAAATTTGAAATAAATACACATTTATCTTTCAAATATTTTATACCAGACTGAGGCAAAATGTTTGTTTAATTCGTTCAAAGTTATTATAAAACTTCAGGTTTTACGTTTGCCGTCAATTTCATGGATGTCGACAACAGCAGGAACGACAACTCGTGGCGTAACGTCATTCGGTATCGTGTACAACCTTAAAAGACTAAGTGTTTTGCATCAATGCGTTACTAATCGATAATAATCATTATAAATTAAACGCATCAACTGAGAAAAAAAACATGCAATGTCTTGTAGACTTGATTTAATGTCCAGACCTTACCATCAATTTTTTTATTCTTCTTCACATAAGAGTACAGATTTTATGTCAGTCATGTTGGTATTGATTTTAGATGTTAAAATTTTTATTTAGTATTGATCACTAGAATTTTGAAATTTATTTTGATTCATTTGATTTTTGATGAAAATGATTGATTTCACTTTGACAAATTACTATCTATTATAACAAATTTTTAGCTACTTAGAACATGAATATAAATAACTAAGCCTTCAAAGTTCTAGTTCATAGAAAATAAACAAAAATGTTGCGTTATTAAATTTTTTTTGTATAAATATTGAGAATAATATCAAAAGGGTTTAAACAGATGAGCTAAATCTTAAGCCAACTTTGCATGTGGAACTTCATGTTTAGTTTTTATTGACATAAAAAAGTTAATAACTTAAAAATAATTCGGGTTTAAATTTACACTACTCATGTTAGAATGTACCCTTGAAGACTGACAGTCCACTAGTGATAGCAATATAAAATTAATGATAAGAATTTCAAAGGGAAACATTTGAATAATCTATTGAATCCACAGTTCGATCAATTTAATTTAAGAGTGGTCCTCTTTATAATTTGTATCGAATATGCAACCAAAAGGTTATAATAAATCCTGACCATTATTTAAAACCGATAAAACATTAGTTGAGGAATCATTAAATCAATTATAGAAGATCATTGTACTAACAGTTCTTGTCTACTCTTGATGTGTTCCTACCTCATTCCATAAACAACTGATCCATTATCATGTAATCGAATCATCTTATTTTTCTCAGTTATATCGTGCAGAAACGAGTTTTTATCATTTGCAAAAAATGTATCTGGCACCCAGATTTTCTCAGCAAATTCCCCAGTGAGTGTCATGCTTGATACATCGTAACTGTCAAAGGAAAGCCTGTCATCTAGCCAATACTGGTTCAAATGGATTGTTATAGTGTAATCCTAAAACATCAAAATATTACATTATATTTTTGTAAAGTAAAATAAATCATTTATTTTTTCTGTGTATAATATAGGATATCATAAGTTGTTCTTATAGCACTTGTAGAAAAATAGATGAGGAAATAAAGTAGCTTCCGCATGTCATGTTTCAAGTCTGCAAAGTACCTTGGTAGTATTGTCAGTTCATACATGAGATATAATGAACATACCAAAAACATATGCAACAATGTAAATCAGACCATTGAATTTCTTAAACATATTCCGAACCTCACTATAAATACAATGTAAGACCCCATTAAGGAAACTGCATGGAAATCATCTCTAGTTAGACCAACATTTGAGTATGCATGCACAGTCAGGAACCCTTCCAGCAGAACAATAAACACCGGATGGAAATGGTACACAGAAAAGCAGCAAGATACGTCGCTAGCAGATATTAAAACACCTTATCTGTCAGTGACCTGCTTACCCAACTTGAATGGAAAACCCTTGGAGTGTGTCTTTTTATGTTGTAATGTTACACTACTGTCTCAGGTTAAGGTGAAGGTTGGCGCCTGTTAAAACGTTTAAACCAGCTGCATTTTTATGCACCTGTCCTAAGTCAGGAGCCTGTTGTTCAGTGGTTGTCGTTTGTAGGTGTGGTTCATGGGTGTTTCTCGTTTCTCGTTTTATATAGATTAGATCGTTGGTTTTCCTGTTTGAATTGTTTTGGGGCCCTTTATAGCTTGCTGTTCGGTGTGAGCCAAAGCTCCGTGTTGAAGGCCGTACTTTGACCTATAATTGTTAACTTTTTATACATTGTGACTTGGAAGGAGAGTTGTCTCATTGGCACTCATACCACATCTTCTTATTTATATAGTATACAATTCTATAAAAAAAAAAAAGTGGCGTCATGAGTTTTTATCTATGATGTACGACCTATATAAAATAATATCTATTATGTACGACCTATATAAAATAATATCGTAATTATATTGATAAGGTGATGGTCATCATCAGTTTGAAATATTGCATGGTGTTTTCCCGTGTTTTTTTTTATAATCGATGCTTTTAATTTGAAGAAATGATCCAGCTGACTTTAGGTTCATTGTCGTGTTGAATTGGTATGTCCCTTTTGCACAACGTAAGGCCATCGTGAGGGCATCTTGTCACATTTGTCTTTATTTCGTGTGATCACCGGTGCCATCGGGCATTTTTCGACTCAAGAAGACAATATGAAACAGATGTTTCCCGATTGTCTTAGGAGGCAACACGATTACGTGAAGCCCTCCCAATAACATCGCGATAGGACCACGGTGTCGGTAAAGACAACCAAATTTGACATTCACATGTATAGCAGACATATAAAAGGCCAGCCTAAAAGCATCTTCTCAGACTGTCCTGAGCAACTCTACAGAACAGAAGCGTGTGTAACTCCCAAAGTTTCAATCACAATTCAGTTCCTGCAGAATGGCATACGTTGAGGAAGAAGACAACCGGGAAAAAGAAGGCAGCAGCATTACTTCTTTAGATGCATCTCAGAGAACATGATATGAAACAATTACAAATCCCAGGTATATAACCTTAGCCATATTTGGCACAATTTTTTGGAATTTTGGGTCATCAATGCTCTTCATCTTTGTTTGGCTTTCTTTGCTATTTTGACCTGAGCGTCACTGGTGAGCTGAGAAAAGATGGCAATTTCCACACTGATGTGGTGCTCTGGATGGCAAGAAAGTGGCGGTCACCTGTCCTTGGAATACTGGCTCTGTGTACAGAAACAATTAAGGATTTCTTATCCATTGTTCTCATGGCCCTGGTCGACGCAGACTACAATTTTCTCTGGATTGATGTCGGCTCTTATGGTTCCAGCAACGATTCCAGTATCTTCAATGGGTCAGAAAGGAAGGAAGGCCTGTAAAGTCCGAACAACACTCTGGTATTCAATCTCCCTGAAGAGAAGTGTCTACCCGGTAATAACGTGCCTGTCCAATACTACATAGTATTCAGGCAAACAGGTTCTGAGTTTTGCTGAGGACCATGAACAGAGGCCAGAGACATGCAGATAAATCATCACAACTTGTGAAATCCTTCAAAATCTCGTTAGACTGAAATCTCCAGCCACCCACAACAACCGGATGGACTAGGAAGACCATAACCAGAATGTCATCTCAGGGACATGGAGAAATGACAAAGCACTTCTGGATGTTTACCATTAGAGGGCAAGGCACACTGGAACTAAGGATGGGAGGCAAATTAGAAGATACATTGGTAAATATTTAACCTCAAAGGCAGGTTGCCATGGCAGTACAGGATGATCATGTAATTATTCACACACAGCAGTGACAGAAAAATCAATACATAGACAATGATATTGTGATGATGAACAAATTATTTTCACATATTGCATTGGAACTTAAAGCAAAATGTGTATGGAGTTATAAATTTTGCTTTTGAAATTTTAATTGAAAATAACTTTAATATCAAAATCAGAATAACTTGTAAAGTAAGGATAAAGGACCAAAAAATTAGGTAATTAAACTAAATTTCCGACAATCGACTGAAGATTTTATGCCATCGGGATGTCTCTTGATGACTTCGTGACCTAGTTCGAACGCATCGTACTCAAGACAAGACAAGACAATTTTATTCTTTAAAACCATTGTATACACATTGGTACAAAGAATGAAATAATAATACATAGTATACAAAATAAATTGTGCACATGACAAGATATGAATGTTACAATTACTATACAAGATCATTTAGTTATTATAATAGAAAAACAGATAGACAAAGGCTAACCAGGAAGACCTGCTAATGAATTTATAACCTTTATAAATTTACATATATTTTTTAACTTATTTCTATGTGTTGTTTGTAATAATTTACAAAATTTAATTACATTTACTCTGTTACAATAACAATTATCCAAAAACAGTTTTCTTGAGTCGTCTAGGGATCTACAATTCAGAAGAAAGTGAAATTCGTCACCTAATTCTTGACATTGACATAAATACTCTGAATACGACGTTGTTTAGCCATCATGTGGCCTTAGTGTGTCCTACGGGTAAATATCTTAATAAAAATTCACATCTTTGTATTGCCTTCGTGTGTCCTACGGGTAAATATCTTAATAAAAATTCACATCTTTGTGTTGCCTTCGTGTGTGGTTCGGATGCCATCTCGTGAACTTCTGTAAGCATGTTACTTGCTTCGGGTGATGATTGGCTGTTGACCAAGTTCGGTGCCATCTTCGCGCGAAATTCAAGTTTCCATATTCGTGTGTCCATCTGGTGTCAATTTCGGGACATTGTGACGCCTGCATTAATAATTACTGTCATAAATTAAAATTGTATGCAACATAAGCGGCTAAACTCCTTTTATCAGATTTAACACATTATCATCCAGACCTTGACCACTTGGTCAGTACGATAGGTGTCGACAGCAAAGCAGGTTATGCTAACTTTTCCCAAAATTTTGATGTCACAAACAGTTTTATACAGTAGTATTCCTAATACAGCTTTGAGTGCTCTCTGTTTATAAACAATGATACGTTTTTAACCGTTTTTCTACTCTTGTTGCTTTCATTTGCAAATCAATGTCTTATCCAATGAGTTATAGAAGGTAGTTCGATGTCTTTTATTAGATAGGGATTACACTAGTTATGATTGTTTCGACGCGATGTTTTAACTAACCAATCGATGATGAATATGCAATCAATCAATTGTTCGTGATTGAATAGGAATAATTTTCAATTGGAGACATGCCTTTAATTCTAGTTCAATACCAAAACATTTATATAAGGTAGGGTAATCTTTCAGAAACTGCTAAAGAGACTTTTTCACCATATAAAGTCAACCATTTTAAACATTTATAACAAAATGCAGTTCCCATGAGATGCAAGCAAATGACGAGACATAGTGATGCGGAGTGTTTTGATTGAGTGAATATTCCTGGTTTAAACATTATTCAGCAAGCACATTTTTTCTATTGTATTGTTTTTTAACAGTTGTCGGAATGCCACCACTGACTCAAATTATTGGACTAAGAAAGAAAATACGAATTAAAAATCTTTCAACGATATTTGATTATAATTTCCCACAAGATTGACTGAGGTGTGGAAATATGGTCACATTGACTTCTCCCGTTCCGGTAGTAAAACTCTTGCTTAAGTGGAGCGTCTGTTTGGCTGTGCAGGATGTATAGATAGTATCTATAAGATACCTGTGAAGAGAGTGCCATGCTCTGCATGTAAAAGAACCATTGCAACAACTCTTTGGTGGTCCGTAGGTGGCCTTCTTGAAAGCGCTCCTACAATATGCGTCTCTATATTTTTTTCTGCCGCCTTTCCAACATAAAATCATTTCCAATGTCAAATTTCCTGCCGTCATTCCGGATCGGTTAACCTTGCAGAACTTACTAATTTTATTATAAAAAAAGATGTGGTATGATACGAAATATAATACAGAACTGAAAGGAAAGTAATGGTAAAACATACATAGACAAGAATAGATCCGATACGAATGGTTGTTGAGAGACATTCTTTTTTTTTATTTCAAGACATACCTCCGACCTTTTGTTTGTTATTTTCATTGTGAAATAATAGGTCAGGGATAAAACCAAAACATCATTTTGTATGATTTCTAATCAACTTCTTTTCGCACATACCACATTGAATCCAAATATATCTTCAAAGCTCACAACTATCAACCACGTTCCTACATACCATATTGACATCAGAATCTTTAGCGTTAAATATTACAACAATGGACCACATAAGGCTCATTAATACATACCATATTGACTTCAGATATAACGTCAAATATTACAACAATGGACCACAAAAGGCCCATTAATACATACCATATTGACTTCAGATATGACGTCAAAGCTTACAACAATGGACCACATAAGGCCCATTAATACATACCATATTGACTTTAGATATAGCGTCAAATCTTAAAACAATGGACCACATAAGGCCCATTAATACAAACCATATTGACTTCAGATATAGC